AGATGTGACGGCCCTCTTGTCAAGGACAGCACACTTCTGTGGCTGATTATGATGCTTTGCCTTTCATTAATATGCCTCACCTCCAGATTTGCTATATGGCATTTGCATGACATTAGCATATATCTTAGGGCCAGCCGTTTGACGCTGTTGTGTGCGGAGCGTGTGTGAACGACACCTGTTCACACAGTGGAGGTTAGGGTGAAGAGGGTGGAAGACAGTCTCTGGGACATGAAGATGCAGCTGCAATTTAGGGGCTTTGCAGTTTAAAAAAGTTAAATCAAGTTCACATTAAAAAAAAGTAACATTTTACCTTAATTTTGCTTTATTTATTTTGAGGTTTTTTTTCACTTAGTTCTAACAAAAAAGGTGTCCAAATGTAGACATTGTATTCAAACTAGATGCAGTTTTCTTAGGAAAAGGCATACAAGAAAAACTCAGAAGTCATTCAAAGCCTAATAGGATTTTATTCAGCAATATTGCCGTCAGAAGAGAATATTTCTTCTATTTTGTCAAAAGAAATCCTTCTCCAAAGAGGGTATTTGAGAGGCTGTACTATGGGCACAGCAGTGCTTTGAGCAAAAAGCTAACTTTGGTAGGCTAACATGCTCACAATGACACAATTAACATGTTTATTTTTTACTGGTATAACGTTGGATGATGGTGGTGAACAAAAGTTAAGAATTAGGAGAGTTTCGGGCATTCGTAGGGGTCTACCTACTGGTTATGAGAAAAAAGGGCCATCAAATATGGCTTCTCTGGCAAGATAAGCAACGGTCACTATCTTAAACAGAACCAAAGATATGTTGTTTTCTTATTCATCTTTGACCCATTTTTGGAAAGCCTTCTCTTATATATATTAGTACGACATAAAACAGCTCTTCTTCTACTTGTATTTTGTAATATAAAAAAAACTACACAGCACAAACACTTAAAATTACTTGAGAGCAAGGATGGGAGAAATTCATGTTCCATAATGTTCAATTTCCATCCCCCATCTGTTTGCTTTTGTTGTTGTTGGGACAGTTGAGGTATGCGTGGGTGAGATCTGTGGTGGTGTTGTCCTTGTCTGAAGCTCAGCCTCGTGGTCCGTTCTGAAGCTGCTTGGCCTGAGAAGCTGCAGCAGGTGGTGACCCTGCATGCACACAGCAGAGAGCACCGAGCTGCAGCCAAATCCTTCAGTCTGAGAGCTGCCCACACTGACCAATCTGCCTTCAGAGAGAACGCGTAGACAGCCACTGAAACAAACACTCTGGCAGTGTCTCTATAAAAGGCTTGATTTTGTGTTTTTACTTATTCTTATTGTGAAGCATTTGGTGGAATTGGGATCGAGTTGATCATTTGTTTTCCATGTTAATGATCAGGTTAGCTTAAAAGGCAAATGCTGTCATCATATTTTCTATAATCCAATAAGAACTTTTCTATTCAGATTATTATTCACCTTGAGTGAGTTAAAAGGGGTCATTTTCATTGTTGTATATCATATGAGGAACTAAATTGTGATGTTCCCTATAATAAATAAATCACAAAAATGATCTACCTCCACTGCTCTAAAAAAATAAATTACACTCGTCTTTTCACTCATTCTTTTGTTTTAGCAGCAACTTAATTATCTTTGATGGCAACTCCAGTCAGACAGACAGAGTGGGTCTAAGTGGGCCTACTTACTTTCTTTTGTACATGTGGTGATTGCTGCAGTCTCAGCTAGCCACATCCTGCCAACACAACACAATGAATCCACTAAATAAAAACCCAACCTTTGTCTTTTTTCATTCAACACGACTCAAACGGCAGCAACTAACTGGTTTTCACACGTGGATTGCAGATGCATTTGACATATGTATCGAATTGGATGGCCTAAACATGGATGCACTCTATACTGACATTTCATGGACAAATGTTATTTGAGTGTCAAGAGGCTGCATTCCTAACCCAGCAAGTCTTTGCATTACTCTACTGTCCTGTGAAGACTGACAGCGTCTCTAATGAAACGTGACTCCAGGAGAATAGTTGGGTGCAAGGCGTGAGAGGATTTGTGGTTGTTTACATCTCCAAACTGTGTCGCTAGACATGGAAGACACTGACAAAAAAAGCAAGTGTACTTACATTAACAAACCCTCACCAGAATAAACATTAGAAAATATAATTGTTGATATACATTTCTGAAACTATTGATTCATTATATGAACATCTGTTATCAACTTCTTAAGTGCAATTTTATGATCAAATATGAAACAGATACACAGAATCAGTTCAAATCGGAAAGGTCCTACCTTTGCCAATGATACAAATATTTCACACAGATCCTAGCTAATGGAGAAAGTCAAACACATAGACGTAAAATAGCTGGAAAATGTTCTCAGTGGTTGATGGAGACCAAAACAGAGTGTAAAAGAGTGTGACTATTGGACTTAGATGTGTCAGGTAGCCAAAAACATTATAATTATATGTTAAAGAAGTGTGCTTAGTGTGTATGCATCACTTTTCCCAACACACATTTTCTGCTTATGATGGGGTTTTTCTGAAGCCAAGTTAATTCTTCTTCTCGTTGACAAATCACTGATATATTTAATACACAGAACTCCTGGAAATCATGTTGTGCAATATGTCTAAAATGACCTCCAGCTGGGGGCTCCCCCCTTCTGGAAACGGCTTCCTTATTGGCCACAACTTTATGGGTTTGAATCCCCCTCCGTGACCTTTGTCAAATGTCATAACCGCTCTGTCTCTCCAATCTTCTGCATCACTTTCTATTTGATACCGTCTATTAAAGGAAGCCATAAAAATAATCTTTACTATCAGTGCCAGTCAGAGAGGAGAATCACCACCTCATTACCACCCCTGTCTGAGGGGCTGATTATGGGGTGGAAGAAACCCGGCAACAGAGTTTGAGCCTGGGGCGTCCCGGTGGCTCAGTCCACTAATGGGGTGTGTGTGTGTGTGTGTGTGTGTGTGTGTGTGTGTGTGTGTGTGTGTGTGTGTGTGTGTGTGTGTGTGTGTGTGGAGTGCATTGGGTTACATTTCAGCTTCACACTGTCTCATCTCTCTCCCTTCACTCCCTGCAACTCTTCACTCTACCTGACACTAAAAAAAAATGTAAAAGGAATAACAATTCATAAGAATAGTGGCCTTTTTACAAATAAAAATATAAAATGCTGGTTGAATCTAGCATTAAGAGCAGGCAAAATGTACTCAATTATGCCCTCTTACCTCCCTGGGTCCTTCTAATGATCACACACAGACAAAGCACTATGATCCCACTGTGAAATGCCCAGTGATGAAATAAACCATTGTGTGTGTCCTCGCCCCAATATGGTAATCCAGGATTAATTATGGGCCAACCCTAATGAGTATCTCTCTCGCCCTCTTAGATATGTAAATGTACCAGCAGTGGACAGCGTTGAGAGGCTTTTGTAAACTCTTTGTGCCCTCTGTGTTCTGTAAAAGTGGTAGGATGGGGCAGATATGGACAAAAACAACTGCTATAGATTATTTATTGTATCATTACTGAAATTAAACATTGTCTTTTATCACTGGGTCAAGATGTAAAATGTGTATTGATAGCTAGAAATCAGTGTATACTTAAACTGACTTGAGGGAATTTCACCTGAAACCTGCTAATATCATAGAAATATAATAAATACTAAGATACACTCTACAAGTGTTGATAAACTCAAAGTCAAACAAACTGACGCAGACCTTTTCAATATGGCTGTTTGCCATCAGTGGCTACCTGTCTCCCTGGCTGCATGGGTGGTGAATTGCCTCAGCACCCATATTTAATTAGACAGGAAGTGCGAATATGGCCAGAACCAGAGGAAGAGTGCTCTTGTAACACTTTCATCTTCGTCCTCTTATTTGAAAGCTGAGGGACGATGAGACAGAGAGAGTCATAGAGATTTGTGTTGGCAAAATACAATGATGTTCAGCGTTATACTTCAACACAAAGAAAATAATACGTTTTAATATCAGGAGATGGCAAAGAGTCTATTGTGCCATTTGAAAAAAAAGGTTCATTAAGGATGTATTGTATTGCAGCTGATGTGGGGCAAGTTACAAAATATAAATGTTTGCTACTGTATGTATTTTATATATAAAGCTACTAGTGTTGTGGTTAATTCTTGAAGCTCTGTCCTACACTCTGTGTCTAAACAAAGAGCATGACTTATAACTGCGTTACTTAATACCTGGATTGCAAACAAAAACACATAACAGGATTATTTCGCATGATGCTCAGATACTGGGGCAAAACTAGACCAACAATAAATAGGTTGCACTCAACAGAAAAGAATGGCTCCCTAATCTCCCCCTCTCTGTTAAAAACATAACCTGTTGCACAACCTGCACTACGGTTTTAATTACCCCCATAGGCCTGGTGACAAACACACACCCGCACACACACACAATATTATAATGAAATGCTTCCCATTCAAAATCGAGTAAATAAACATCAGTAGCAAAATAAAGAATCAAAGTAATATCTGTATTTCTTCTCTGATATTGTTCTTATATCATGCATTATGTCACTGGCATTTTTCATCCGTCGTGTGTGTGTGATGTGTGCAATCTTTTCTTGTGTGTGTATTGTGTTCAGATCAGATACTTTTCCTTTGGGGTAAGGAACCCTCAAATAACTACAGGTGTGTATTTCAGGGGTACAGATTGTATGTTTGGTAGTGTAAATACTTTCTTGAAACAGATTCCTTTAGTTTTTCACATTTTATGCAAAAAATAATGAAAATTAACTCTATGAATTAATTGATCCCCATGGAAATTAATGGATGTTTAAAGAGCTGGAAAACTGGTAAAGGGGTATTTAAAATGAATAAAACATCTTAATTATAACTTATACAAGAACATTTTAAAGATATCAATATGAGTGTGTGTGTGTGTGTGTGTGTGTGTGTGTGTGTGTGTGTGTGTGTGTGTGTGTGTGTGTGTGTGTGTGTGTTGTCAGTCTGCAGGGCCTGCCTGATAAGCCTTATCTTCTCCGGGGTTCTCCACATGAGGAGGCTGCCTCTCTGTGTTGTTGTTCCTCGGAGTTTCTGTCCAAGGTGCTGAAATCCGCTGCTCCGGGGACGGGTCACGTGACTGCGCTTCCTCCCTCTCTGAGCACAGGATGCTGTGTGAGCTCGCGCTCGCTTGTGTTGCGCGTGTGTGTAGTCTATGCACGGGGACACCTCAGTCCTCAAGCTATTTCTAAGAAGGCGTCGGGGCTGTAGTAGCCTACACTCGCAGCGTGGACTGAGTGCAGTTGAATGCGTAACTTTGACTCTCCGTGCATCCTTCTATTCTTCTTTTTCTTCTTTTTCAGCTTATTTCTTCCCAGTTCGCAGGCATTACAGTGGCAACTGTGGATGGACAAGCAGGAGTGGGCTGCTGCCCACCAAGTCTGACTGTGTTTTGGAGGTGTTGAGAAGGGAAAAGAACATGTAGAGTCCGCAGGCTTGTCCGCAGATCTTCTCGGATTCACAGCCAACATGCAGAAAGGGATGAGACTCAATGACGGCCACATCACCTATCTGGCTCTTTTGGCTAAGAAAGATGGGACGAGGCGAGGTTGCCTGAGTAAGAAAAGCTCAGACAACACAAAATGGCATTCTAAGTGGTTCGCTTTGTTGCAGAACATGTTGTTTTATTTCGAGAACGACTCCAGCTCACGCCCCTCCGGACTGTACCTGTTGGAGGGATGTGTGTGTGACAGGGCACCGTCACCCAAACCATCTCTCTCCGCGAAGGAATGCTTAGAGAAGCAGGTAAGATATCGATCACACGGAGAGCTCCCATACGTCTGCCTGACTGAAACTGTCTCCTGAGCGGACGCACTTATTAATGCAGCTTGTTTTCTCTCTCCTGGTGGGGAAAACGTGCTTTGATCAACTCGGTGAAAGCGTTGACAAGCGGAAGTGTTCTGTGTACGCAGCGAAAACCGCAAACGACACAGTTTCTGTTTTTATCCCAACATCTATTTATCACGCAAACAATGTCCCAGAGATGTTCACTTGACGTTCAGACTTACGTAATGGCGTCATCCACAATGATTGATTGTCTCGATTCAGCACTAAAATAGCCTGCCTCAAAGCTAACTCAAAAACAAATATGCAATGCTCTAAAGTTAAATTTGATTCTCAGTAAAACTTTGCAAACACGAAAACTAGTTAACCTTCTATATTTATTTTTCTCGTTGTCATCACAACGATGTGTTGCAGTCATGGTTGCAGTACGTTTATTTTATATAACATTATTTGTTGTTGATATGCTAAGAGTTCAGGGATTGCTCATATGCAGGGAGTAAACTTAAAAACACTATCCAAACTTTGCAGGTTGCCATCTTGCGGAGGAGAGCTGCCCCTTCCCTGTCGTTTTGACGTATTGATTTAATTCCTTGTCTTGATATTAATAGCATCCTACCTTGGCAACTGCGTCTCCCCGGTTCATAGCGGCTTGGTTCATTTGATAGCTCTCTCATTATCATGGGTTTGTTAACGACAGCCATGAATGAAACCCAAACGATGTCCCAGGCATGCTTTTGTTTTTCTGTACATCATCCCCCCCATTCGTTATGGCTCCTCTGGCATTTGGATTAACATGTGTGAGGGCTACACCATTTCCACTGTTTTGTTTTTTTAATGTCAGTTTAATAGGGTCATAAATAATCTCAGGAATAGCATGGTTGCCTCCAGCGAAACAGTTTTGAGGATTTAGAAAGGCTGCAGCTGGAAGGAATAAACCTTGTGGCATAAAAGCATTTACGAGCCAGAGAAGTGGTCAAGCTGCTGTGAGCCAGGACTGCAGTCACCAATCTGCTCTGCTTCACCTGCAGCACGGCCAATACAGGATGAAAGTCAAAGCAGTGGCTCATTTCATCTCTTCAGTCAGCAGAGTCTTCATATATGAGGCTAACAGGTTGTTGTTGTTGTTGTTGTTGTTGTTGTTGTTGTTGTTTTCCGACAATGCCATTGAGATGTAAGTTTGACTGATATTTTCCTTTTGAGAGCATATGAAAATGTCCAGTAAAAAACCTTTACCCTTCACTAGGTGCACAACAAAACTAATATCTCAAATCAAATACAACCAACTTCAACTTTGCCCACTAGCAAGCCTCATGCTTGTGTCACGACATTAGAGTGTTTTGTCTTTCTTTAAATATAACTCTGAACATTTGATGACTGCAACAAAAGACTCTTGCCATACTGGTGCTGGACACATTGTGGGTAATGTTCAGGAAATGAACCCTTTAACCATGGATTCAAAAAGACAAACAAACTCATATGGATGCCCACATTGTTCTGCTCTTATTTTCCAAGATGATTGTTGTTACAAAATCCATTACATTTCCAGAGCAAAGTTAATTTGCAGCTTGATAACGAAGAACTAAGAATCTGTACTTCAGGGGAACATTTGAATGACCTGAATCTTACAAAACAATCCTCATTTATACCTGGATTCACTCAAAACTCCATACAAATATATTGCATGTCTTATCTGTGTTACCTATTATGCAGATTCAATATGCACCATGTGTTGGAAGTTCGTATTTATTATAAATAGCTGAAATATGTACGTAGCTATACGAATCAGAGTTAGATGACATTTGCCTTGGATGCTCTCCTGTCATACTTTACAAATCCTCTGTAAAACCTGTTGAATAATTAAACATTTAATTGAAAATGTATACTCTAGGTTGCCATGTAAGTATTCCAATCTGCAGTTATAGTATTTATATGTTACGGTATAAATGACAATTAAAGCATGGACACGTGTTTTAGTAATTATAAGTGACTATTGTACGGTGGCTCCTACATGTTCTGTATGCGGCTGCTTCCATCAGCTACCTGGCGTCCACGGTGCTGAGCGCTGCTGTCACGTCACGTTCTTCAGACACTTGCCCTCTGCCCTTTGTTGGCAAAGCTGTCAGGATTAGTATCAGTGTCACCAAGAGGGCGTCAAACAGATGTGCCAGCAGAATTCAGACAAGTAAATGCATGTTTATTTGACCCTAGATGATTTATTTTTTTATTTAGTGTCAAATTTAGATTCTTAGGGTGAAAGTCGTCAGAAGGTAGATTAAAAAACCACTGGGTGTTTGTCAATTTCCAAAGAAGCAATATTTAAAATCATGTGAACTTAGATTTCCAGTATTTGTTTTCACCAATATATGTTTATTCTATAGTTTTAGTTTTCTGCCTTACATGCAGACAATAACTATAGCAGATCAGAAAGAGCTCTTATTTCACGAATCAGTTGTTCAAGTAGACACTGAGTTAAGACTCTCACAGCGTGAACTAATAAACTTTGTTCACCGTCAAGCTTATTTTTCTTACAGTCCGAACAAGAGCTCTATTCCTAGGACATGGACGGAGTGACATCTATGATGACAGCTGTTCATGCAGGCTGCTCCAGTGAATTTATTTCAACAGTGAATTAAATGAATTTGAAAGCCATGAATTAGCATAACACAGTCTTCTGTTCAGCACGTGTCCCTTTACATAATATGTGTCAGGAATAAATTCTCTCAGTTTTGTGTTATTTGCGTGGGGGTGTAAATTGTTGTGCACGTGTATAAAACATTTGGATGCTTATTTGCACAAATACATGCTTTTTGTTAACCCTGCTAGCATGTCTTGCGGGACTATGTGCGTGGCTCGGAGTCTGCGTGGGTCTCACAGTGTCCTCCTGCATACGCCGATGCTGATCTATAAAAGGTTAAATGAGGACAGCGAGAGTAATCAATCGTCCAGGTGTCTGAGGGCATACAGATTTCCTTTTCACTTTCCCCTCTCTTGAAAAACAAAGAATGACACTTGAGTCGATGAGCAGACTGCAGAGGTCATCCGAGGCAATGCTACTGTACATTCCTGACATTAAAGCCGTTACATGTGCAGATTACAACAGATTTCTTGGGAGCACGTCAGTGTGTGTGTGTGTGAGTGTGTGTGTCAAAGGCTGCAGGAGGAATGGCCAAGCGAGAGCTGGATCTTATCTGTCTGTGTGTGTGTGTGTGTGTGTGTGTGTGTGTGTGTGTGTGTGTGTGTGTGTGTGTGTGTGTGTGTGTGTGTGTGTGTGTGTGTGTGTGTGTGTGTGTGTGTGTGTGTGTGTGTGTGTGTGTGTGTGTGTGTGTGTGTGTGTGTGTGTGTGTGTGTGTGTGTGTGTGACAGGGAGAGGGACAATGCAGCGAATAGATGCCAAGCCAACTGCCACCTTGCAGAGCTACGGCGCTTTTTATAGCCCTCACTCCTCAAGAAGGCAAAAGATCTTTCTCTCGCTCGCTCTCCGTCTGTCTCTCTCCGTTCTCATTGTATTCTTTGGAGTGTTCCACTTTTTAAATGTTCTTATTCCCCATTTAGACGGCGAGCTACGTTTAAGCCCACAGTTACTATGGCAACCCCTATTTGCATCTGAAAAAGTGCTTTTGAAGGGGCCAACGAAATGTCCAACAACATGCCTCGGCATTGTGTCTCACTTAGCAAGTACAGCAAATATGGGCATTAGTGGAAATGTGATATGGTGACGGGTAAAGAAGGGGGGGGGGGGCAAAGTGGGAATGCTTGATATCTTTTTGTCCTAGTTTTATTGCTTTCACTTAATTAAACCATTTTTACCAAAATCAAAAGAAAAAATGGCTCTGATGCAACAGAAATCTACCATTGTGAACATTTAAAAACTGGATCAAAACGTATTTTAGAGATACAATTGCAAATGTTATTGAAGACAGACATCATCATAAACATTTAGTTAAAACATTTGCTAATTTTGTCTCACTTTCAGATGAAATTCAATACTTTCTGTTCATAGATTTGGCTACGTTATCTCACTTACCAAGCAGGTGAAAAAAAGGTTTGACACTCAGAGGAAGCGAGAAACTGGAAGCGCATTTCTGTTGCTCATAAGGAAATACTGGAACATTACTCCCCTTCACAAATGATTTGCTCTTGGCATTTGGGAGGGATACAAAAATCCAATATATTGGATTTGTGGGGATCTATTTACAATGCATCAGTGTTACATGACTTGATGCGTTTCTACCACGAATAGTCTGTTTTCAGTATTATTGCAATGACCACCACTTTGTTGATTTGAGGATTTGATCTGATAAGCCTATTAGAAAACATTTGCCATAATTGCCATAGCTGAACCTTTGAGGATGTAGGGTCACCGGAGATAATTGGCGAGGGAGTAAATACAGGTGAGAGGTGTTTGTGTCACTAAAACGCAGCTTAATCACTGGCACAAAGCAAAACAAAACGTGGCGTCAGACGAGAGGCTTCCTCCAATTCAGAGGTGAGTTGCCAGGTTACAGGCAGGATGCACATAGGCTTTATAATGAATCTTTCAAGACTTTTCCCTAAGGATCTCTCTCTCCCACTCATTCACACACATGGGCATGCATGTGTATAGACATACTACTTTAAATTCAACAACATGTAGATTTAAGAAAAGCCGGTCAGTGATGAATCATGCAAGGTTTTCCCTCAGATGGGTTTCCTGCAGACCAACGTTGTACATGTATCACGGAAACCCTTTGCTGTAATATATTCTGATTGTCTTATTACATGTTGAACAAATATTTGACTCTTTCTTTCATTTCCATTTCCAGTACTACTTTACCGTCACGTTCAATCATGACAACCAGAAGTCTTTGGAGCTGCGCTCGGAGGACGTCAAGGACTGTGATGAGTGGGTGGCAGCCATCACACAGGCCAGGTACCTCACACACACACATGACCTCTCACCTACATACACACACTCAGCTGTGGATGTTCTGCAAGATAAAGATTTTGGTGGGAATGTTTGTGTGTGTGTGTGTGTGTGTGTGTGTGTGTGTGTGTGTGTGTGTGTGTGTGTGTGTGTGTGTGTGTGTGTGTGTGTGTGTGTGTGTGTGTGTGTGTGTACACAATGTCATCATTTGCAACTACAGACTACAAAAAAGAGATGACTAAATTAGATTTTTATTGGAAAATTAGATCAATATTATCAATTGTAATCTTTAAAGAATTGATTGTGTGACTGTACCTAAATGCTAACACCAGTATGCTAGCAGGATGATGTTTAGGTATAATGTTTACCAATATTAATGTTAACACTTGTCCTTTTTGTTTGACTTCTTGTCTCATTACACAACCTTGAAAACATGATAATCTGTATAATTGCATGTGCAGACCCCAAGTTAGCATGTCACTGGTCTGCTGCTCAGATACTAAATCAACAAAGAAACCAAAAATACGCTAACATTCACTTAGAGGTAAAAAACTAACAGTACAGCAATGGTATTTGATCATTTAGTCAGAATTAAGAAAGATAGCAGTGACTCACCAAAGTCAAACGATTCATCCACTTGGACCAAATAGTGTTTTTTTGTGATACTTTTCACATATTTGTCAGCGATACACTACATTAACTTTCTTCTATACTGTACAATTTTGAGTGAAATGCCCCTTTAAGATACTGACACAAAAGAGGGCCATGCAAGCCAAGTGAATCACTCTAAATGTCAGCAGTGTGCATTTGTGTGGCGAAAGGTCAATTGATTGGACTTATTGAAGATTACATTGATTAACGTTCAGCCAAGGCAGCAGCACTGACTGTACAGGAGTTCGTTAGCCTGCATGTGCACACAACAGGGCAATGCAGATCTTGTATATCGTTTTATTGCTTTAATAAAGGTTTTTGATTTCTAGATGCCTTTAGTTAATGTTTTGAATTTATTATTTAGGCAACCAAGACTTTATTTTAGCACATTTCCGCTTTAACAAGCTGTTTTGTGATCAAATTAAACTAAAACCCTTTGTTGGACTGGTTAATGCTCTGAATTATAGCTCATGCAGCAGCAGGATTTACACATGGTTTGCTAAGCCTGTAAGTATTTGAAGAAAAGGTTGCATAAGTGCCTGCGCTCGGTGGAGACGTGAGGTCTGTGGTTCAAACATATGCTGATCAGAGGTCTGCTTTTGCTTTGATAAATCTATGGAGAGCCTGCAAACATGCGTTAATGAGGTCCTTACAATGTCTGTGTGCGTGTCTGTATAGTTACAGGAACCTGGCTACAGAGCATGAGACCCTCATGCAGAAGTATCTCCATCTACTCCAAATAGTGGAGACGGAGAAAACGGTTGCCAAGCAACTTCGACAACAGATAGAGGATGGGGAAATCGAGATAGAGCGTCTAAAATCTGAGGTAACTTGCCTTGTAATTTCATGCTAGTAATACATGTGTGTTGTGTGTTACTGTGGAAGAAGGAGATATAAAACATGGAGGTGAAAGCAGTCAGGAACAGTATAAATACAGAAAGGAGAATGGACAAAGGTCACAACCCAGATTTTAACAATATTGTTGTGTGTTCATGACGAACGCAGCATTTTCCAGAGCCCCTGGGATGTTTTGTTATAGCCTCTGCATACTGTTGAGTGTTTTGTATCCTAATTATTCAGTCTAAACTAGATCAAATGCATCTCCCTTTAATGTGCTAATGGCTAGCTCCAGTTGAATTGAATGTTTTCAATATGCATGAATCAACTTCTATTGTACCTGATACTGCAGCCTCCACTACAACATAATAATCAACCCTCTCACTTTTCATGGCAAAACATGTAGTAATGGATTTTGTTTTTTTGTGTTTAATTGTAGTCCTTTATTGAAAGCTGTTTCATCTGGTCTATTCATACACTCTAATGGGAGTAAATAAAACAGGGATGAATATAATGTTTTTTAAAAAACATTTTGGTGCAGTTTGTTAGTATTTGAATTCTTTGAAACCAGCTAATGGAAAGCAACAAAGTTTTACAGAAACATGAAAAATGGACACTGAATAAAAACATAAAGAATCGTAAGAATGCCAATAAAACACAGAGTGCATTGAGTGAATATTACATGAGCGAGATCACGAGTAGGATTATAGCTGCAGTGTAAAGTCCTCTCATCTTTGCAATATCAATGCGATGTTTGATTTGTGTTGGATTTTAGATTGCTGGACTGCTCAAGGATAATGAAAAGATCCAGTCTAATCCAGAGGTACCTCCCAGTGAAGATGACTTGGAGATCAAGAAGATCAAAAAGGTGAGATCTCGCTGCTTTGTGCTGTGCCGTTTTCAAGGAGAAGCAAATGAATCAATCTTTTGCCACGAAGAAGGCCAGGAGGAAGGAAGAGAGGGGGATTGTAATCTGTGCAGGGATATACTTATGGTTTCTGAAACAGGTTTTTAAACACTACATCATATCAGGGTACCTGCAGGATTTATTTTTAACCTGCATTTATTCAGGGAAGCTCACTCCTCTGGCGTTCACAGCAGGGAGCTCCTCATCCACTACACCACAGCCTTATTCTGTCCTCAGCTCGAGTGAAGCAGCTTCCTGCTCCTTAATAAAGCTGGAGAGTTTGGAAAGGTTTGGAAAGATTTGGAGAGCCAGGTACTTTAAACCTGCAAAAGCTTAGGTGTTAATAATTACATTAGTTTTCCTCTTTTCTCTATTGCATGTTTTGGTTGTTGCCGGCCAACACATTTTACATTTGTAATGCTTTCAACAACAATTATTGCAGGTAGCTGTATTCAAACTCACAGTTACTAATATACCAAGTAGCTGTTTGAACCTCTGCCAACTAAAGAAGATAATGTTCTAAGGAAAATTGGTAGACAGAGCTTAAATAAGAGTAAATAGTGGACTTACTCAAGTCAACAGAACTCCATGCTAATGTCTGCAGGATGTATTACAAATGTGTAACATACACGTGTTTGCCCGCATGTTCTCCATAGCCACTGTATAAGGTAATACCATGTGTTGTGGTTCGTTTGTTGAGTTGTAAGTTACGAAAAAAAGTAAACGAATACTGGTTTTAGTTCTAACAATATGGATTTCTGGCTGCTAAATCTGCATCCACATGATACGCGATGTTCTCAGGTTGCAGGTTGGGCGCAGGGCATTACGGTGAACAGCCAGCTGTAATCTGATTGGTTGAGCGTCGAAAGCTCAGCGGTAACGAGGTCAAAGTTGAAATCATTTGAACTTTTAGCGCAGAGCTCGGCGATAAATTGGAGCGGTGCCCGACGCGTCGCGGGAGCACACCGGCAGCGCTTTGCCGCTTTGCCGCTTGTCATTTGAATGCAGCTTTAGATTGACGCGACAAACCACAGTTAGCTTTACATTTTTAGCTTGTCTTCATCATGGTGACATACCATGATAGACATCAGCTGCAAAAAAAGGATCTGCGTCGGACTTTATGTGTATTCCTCCTCACCAGATGTGTTCATGTACTCCAGGAATGTTGCAGTGAAGAGGGATAGTGACACAGCTCATTGCTATTCAACAATGCTTCAACATGATCATTTTTATAAATAGGCTAGTAAAAATTGAAATACTAAATTAGAATATGTGACTTGAAATACATAGCTCGTTTTGAATTAAATAATGTTTTACATTCACATGGTAACATCAGAAGACTATCATGGTGAAAATGATGTATCTTCAAATCTTTCCCAAAGTTGTAACTGAGAAAACTCTTCAAAAACCCACTGGATTGTGACATACAAACAACAGTAACTTAGCTTTTGCTAACTTGTTTTCATCACAGGTCCAGAGTTTCCTGCGAGGTTGGATTTGCCGCAGGAAGTGGAAAACCATCATCCAGGACTACATCCGTTCGCCTCACGCTGAGAGCATGAGGAAAAGGAACCAGGTGGTGTTTAGCATGCTGGAAGCAGAAGCCGAATACGTCCAGCAACTCCACATCCTGGTCAACAACTTCCTGCGGCCGCTCCGCATGGCCGCCAGCTCCAAGAAGCCGCCCATCACCCACGACGATGTCAGCAGCATCTTCCTTAACAGGTGGCTGGTGGGGGGGGGACTGGTTGAGAATGTGTTGTGATCAGGCGCTGGAAAGCTGCCAAAAGTTGTGAAACAAGAGAGAAAAAACAGCTGCTGACGACTGTTTATTATGTGTTTTATTAGTGAGACCATCATGTTCCTCCATCAGATCTTCTACCAGGGTCTGAAGGCACGGATAGCCAGCTGGCCCACTCTGGTGCTGGGTAAGAGACACAGAGACAACCACTTACTGTATAACAGATGCAGTCGAACATTATGCTTCTTTTTTGTCTGGATTCCTTTAGAGCAGTACACATGACGCAGTTCTCTTTTAGATATTTAACCTTTTTTCATCAATCCAGTATAATGGAGCATGGCTGGTAGCACTTCAAGTATTCACACATTTCTTAAGAGACCATTTCCTCGTTTCTCACAGGATTCACACAACATAAGTCAGAATTGTTTTATACCTATGAACAACATGTGTTTCATTGTTCAAAATACAATTTAATTATAGCTCAGATTAGTACCTAAACACGTCAACAATTAGAGCTACTGACTCTTTTCATGGAGAATGATCTGATATTTTATGCATTCAAGAAGTGTTCTGTTTCTCTTTGCAGCTGATCTTTTCGACATCTTGCTGCCCATGCTGAACATCTACCAGGAGTTTGTGAGGAACCACCAGTACAGCCTGCAGATCCTGGCCCACTGCAAACAGAACCGAGATTTTGACAAGCTGCTGAAGCAGTACGAGGCCAAGCCCGACTGTGAGGAGAGGACGCTGGAGACCTTCCTCACTTACCCCATGTTTCAGGTAGGAGTTCAGAGCAAGGCTGTGGATATCTGCAGGATTATTCCACACACAGTTTCATAAAGTATGCTGTGGCACGTGTTTAGTGCATTAGTCCTTACTCCCTTTTGAAAAGAAAGTGCTCGTACAACACTGTGAGTTTACCCAAGTTCCCGTCGAGATTCTTGATAGTGTTGTTGAGTAATCTTATGCTACAACCCACATTTTTCACATTTCTCAATTCCGTCGAAAATTGCACTGGAGCTCCATGTTTTGTCAACGTCAGTGTTTTTGGATATTTCACTTTGGAGTTAGATCTTTATAACAGAGCCTCATTTGGCCTATTTGTTTAATTTTTTTGCTTTGTTGTATACTTATGCTGCTGCTTTTAAGCTCTCAGTCTAAATCATACATGCTCGTTGACAGTTTTTATCATTCTGGTTTGGTCTAAAGAACGACGATTTCTGGAAGATTGCATTTAAGTATAACAAGCACAAATACGCAATAATAATACAAACACACCTTTCCTGACAAACGCCTGACCTCCATGCCCGGTGTCAGCCTCCCAGGCCTCCATTAGGCAATCAGTGTATTATTTGTGTGAAAGTTAATAATTATACCTTTTTTTAAATTTGACCATTGTGAGACGCCATCATGGAAAACGTATCCGTGTTTCTTGATCAAGTAATGAGATGACGAGCAAAGCGTTGTAGCCCTTTTGCACAACAGGGGCTTCATGGCCAACTAATTACCTGTTGAAACCCTTCAGGTGCTTGGGACTGCTTTTTTTAAAGTTTGAAAAAAATCACATGACCTTTCAAAGTTTGAAACATAACATTTTAAAGATATACTCTCTTTCACTCTTTCTCAGATCCCTCGTTACATCCTGACGCTGCACGAGCTACTGGCTCACACCCCCCATGAGCACGTGGAGAGAAACAGTCTGGACTACGCTAAGTCTAAACTGGAGGAACTCTCCAGGTAGATCTACTGACCGTCTGATAACCAAGGAACTCAAAAATACATTAGGATTGAATGGATACAGGAATTACAATCACATTTGTACAGTGATTTTAGGGAAGGATACTCCATTTTCAATACCAAACACACAACTTAAAATGTGAAAAACCTGTTTAATTCTGTTCCTTCAGAATCATGCATGACGAGGTGAGCGAGACGGAGAACATCAGGAAGAACCTGGCTATTGAGCGGATGATTGTAGAGGGCTGTGAAGTGCTCCTGGACACCAGTCAGACATTTGTTAGACAAGGTAAGTAAGACAAAATATGAACAGTGATTTCTTTTTTTTTTTTCTTTCCTGAACTTTATGTCCTGCAAATGCATCAAAGACAAATGATGTATAAAAATAGCTGAGGCTGTCTCATAGTATTTCCGTATTAGGGTTTTGAAGGTTAGACTCTGATAATAAGATCAAGGTTCAAATCAAATTTCATATGTTTTCCTGTGTGATACTGACACTCCACAGGTTCCCTGATCCAGGTGCCGATGAGCGAGAAAGGGAAGATCACGAGAGGCCGTCTGGGCTCTCTGTCTCTGAAGAAAGAAGGAGAGAGACAATGTTTCCTCTTCTCCAAACATCTCATCATCTGTACCCGCGGCTCCGGGGGGAAACTTCACATCACTAAGGTAGGGTCAGATCTAAATCAGCAGGTTCTTACTGATTCTTAAAAATCTAAAACCAATAAACCTTTTCTTAAATGATCCTTTAAAACACATCAAACCTCTCTGAACTTTTAAGAGTCTTCTGTCTATCAGCTGGTAACAGACTGCATGTGACCTTTGAACCCTGTCTCAGAATGGAGTTTCCTCTCTCATAGACTGCACACTGATGGAGGAGCCGGAGGGGACGGATGATGAAAGTAAGTTACCATGAAAACTAAACTTTTGTATATACGTTTAAATGTAATGTAGTAGTTTAAGCATCAACATATGCAGTTTTGTCTTGGCGAGCGTTAGAAAATACAGAAAATGTAACTGCACTATGTAGGCGAAGTATTTCCCTAATGTTACCATGACTCAGATAATATCTTTCTGAGTTATTAGTTTCCTTGAACCCCTTGGATTCAAAGACTGACAATCCTCCCTAATAATCCTGTTAACATGACTCTTCAAAGAGAACTGTAAACTATTTTGTATACAAATATATTGTTCTTTGACTCACAGGCAGCACAAGTTGAACCAAACCAATCACAAAGTTCATTGGTGACCAGTTGAATCGATGTTAGGTGCATGCGATTTCAGGAAACCTCGATAAATCTTTGGGAATAAAAGCAATGTGCTTTCATGCTCCTCTTTCTAAATAAGGGGCTGCAGAAGGAAAACACATTTCTGATGCTGCATTTGGATGAATTTAGGGATACGTATCTCAATAATAAAAACAATCCACATTATTCATGATTCTTACACTTAATTTATGCACTTTTTTTAAATTATTGACCATAAAACTGATCTGGGAATTAGTAGAAAATGTGGGGTTTTTTTTATTACAAAAATCGCTCCCTAGCGCAACATTTTGAGTTTTTTTCTTAACTTCCAGGGTCTTTCAGACATTTAATGGTAAAGGACACATACACATATCATTTAAAATATAATTGTTGCCCTTCCTTTACACTTTGCCCAAAATATATATATTTGTTATCATATTTTGTCATTTCTGTTTTCCCCTCTTTCTTCTTACATGGCATATTTTCACAAATTTTAATTTTTACCTGTCAAAGTGAAATAACGTTTTTGTAATGTGTGCCTTGCAGCCAAAGTGGAGCGGAGTGGTATGGACACAGAGAACCTGGACTTCAAAGTGATGGTGGAGCCCAAAGACGTCCAGCCTTACACCGTCATCCTGGTGGCTTCATCCCGACAGGAGAAGTCAGCGTGGACGAGCGACATCTGCCAGGTACTCCTCCTCCTCCTCCTCCTCCTCCTCCTCCTCCTCCTCCTCCTCCTCACCTGTGGGATTTAGGACTGAATATGTTCCAAACAAACACACAGCATAATAGCAAAGTGCTTGTTTGACTTAAGTATCATGAGACAAGGAAAACTCTATAAGACTGTAGACTGCAAACATCTGACACAACCTCTTTATAGAGATTTCAGGACAGAGTGTAATTATAAGTAAGATTAGAATAAACAACTTTTTAAAGACTTGGTGGAAACCTGTATTGTCCAGAGCTTTGTGAACTCGCTAACAATGTTTCTTTTTTCTCTGTCTGTCTTGCTGCCTCGCAGTGCATTGACAACATCCGCTGCAACGGTCTGATGATGAACGCCTTCGAGGAAAACAGTAAAGTCACCGTGCCTCAGATGATTAAGTAAGAGTCTGACACCTTGCAGAAAATGCACATACATTATACATGCACAAACCGAGAGATTGGCAGGACATAAATACATGACAAATTCATGAAAAATGCACGAACATGTGTGCCCAAACTTATGCAATTTGTACATCTATACGTGAGAACCCCCAGTGACATAACATATTCCCAATGCTTTAGCAGTAAAGAGTACAACTAAGACCCCCATCACCCCAGCCACAAACTGTTCTGTCTGCTGCCGTCTGGCAGGCGGTACTGCAGCATCCGGACTAAAACCACCAGACTCAGGGACAGTTTCATCCCACAGGCAATACGACTGTTGAACACCTGAACTGCTGAAACATCATTATTTATCTATTTACCTAATCATATTTCAATGACTTGCATATAGACTCTTATTTCACTATTTCACTTTTTTAAACTATTTTCTTCTTGTATTTACTATTTAATATTTACTTGCACTATATGTTTTCTGTTTATGTGTGTTTTGTGTTGCGCTGTTTTTTTCATTTTTTCATTTTCATCGACATAACTACACTGTAGCTATGTTCGTTTGACAAATAAAGAACCTTGAACCATGAACTACAGAGATCCTCAACTTGATATGATCCTTAACTCTTTGAATTATGCAATAGAAATGGACCACAAGTGCCTACACTGGTACTTGTTGTGATGTTGCTTCTCAACATCTAGAAACAAATACAAAATATCTCTTCACTCTATACTCTTGAGTTATGTTTATTTTTGTATTATCAGCGTTTGGCGCCAATCCTCTTGCTCGTCCGCACATTGTCACACAGTTTCAAAATGCACGTAATGTTACATAATGTAATGTAAAGTAACATAATGTAATGTACTTTAACAATGTTAAGTGTACAACCGAATGTAATGAGGCTAAAGATAAAAGCCTTAGCTCATATTTGCAAAAATAACAAGTGGTGTAAGTTTTGTGTTTTAAAAAAATATATTATTTAAACAGGATCATGCAAACAATTCCTTAAAGGAGGTCAATTTCACAGACATTTAAAACACACTATTTATGTTTACAAGAGCACAGACACACACACACACACACACACACACACACACACACACACACACACACACACACACACACACACACACACACACACACACACACACACACACACATACTGAGTCAGTTTTGAGCCAGATTAAAGTAAACATGTTCAAATAAGTATTTTCTTGTAATAGCATAGATTTGAAAATAGCCCTCAATGTTGTAAGTAGGCAATATAAGTGTTCTTTTCTAGTGGGGGAATCCAACCCAAAGCAATGTTAATGCTCTCCCCACTGACCCACATGTGACCAGAAAAGTGTACAAACTGGAGTTGGGCTGCATAAGTACTCGAAGCTAAATCCCTGTGAGTCACATTCCTAACCTCAGTTTAAATCCTAACGCAGGTCGGACACCAGCTTGTACTGCGACGATGTGGATATTCGCTTCAGCAAGATGATGAACTCCTGCAAGGTGCTGCAGATCCGCTATGCCAGCGTGGAGCGATTGTTGGAGAGGCTCACCGACCTGCGCTTCCTCTCCATCGACTTCCTGAACACCTTCCTCCACTCGTACCGCGTCTTCACCAGCGCTGACGTGGTGCTGGAGAAGCTCATCACCATCTACAAGAAGCCCATCAGCGCCATCCCCGCGCGGTGAGTGATCCCCCGAGAGGGATGACTTCAAGAGGTTTAATTAGGGATTCTATGAACACACTCCTCTGAACTAATCCATAGTTAAATTGCAGGCTAACAGAACAAGTTGAAGATGGCCCCTATGCAGTTGTAACCAAACATGTTATTGCTTGTTCTGCTTACTCATTGTGTAGTCATTTAAATTGTAGTCATTATTACACTTAGAGGACATGTCTTTAGCTCCTATTAGTATGCATGATTTGAAATGTGTGAATCTTGGGAAAGCCTTAAGCTCTAGCTCATCAAAATGCCCTCAACTTTACCTTTGACACTGCTACCAAGCAAGGTTATATATCGAATAGCAGCATTCATCAGGTATTAAAAAGTTCTGCAATCCAAACCAAGATGCGTGACTTTTTGAGCCACGCTAGTTGCTTTGTAAGTTGGTCCACCGCCTTGATCCAGAATACAAATATGTTTTTAGGTTTTTGTTAAAAGTCTGACACTGTAGACCTCTCCTCAGACAAAGTTTGGAAAACATGCCCTGTTATCCCTTTTCACATGGCTGTAACTTGGTATCTTTGACCTGTAACAGTAAACCAGCTAGCTGAGCTGCAGGGTTGAATAAATATAACTGAACCCACATGATTTGATATATAAAAGTTGCCGCAGAAGCTTATTTGTGTAGCAAATTTCCACAACTAGTAATGTGCTGATGTGAAAGATTTGAAATGAAAGACAACTTCAACCAATCACATCAATGTGTCCTTACCAGCAGAAAAGAAATACATTTATCTACATGGCCCACCTCGCAAGGTTTGCAACTGTGATTAAGCTACTTTGAGTCTCTGTTCATTACGTTTTTTAAACAAAAAACAAGTTGGCGTAAAATAAGTTGTTACATCAAACTCCTCAGAGCAATGCACTGCGTGGCCAATCCATGCAGCTTGTGACAACTGAAAAAAGTTTGAATTTTCCACATATCTTCCTCCGGAGGATGCAGCAACAGCTCTGTAATGGTGCAGTGAAAAGGTGGGACTCCCCCGGTGTCTGGGTTTGTCTTTGCTCTCACGTGGACTGTCTGTAAGCAGCCCATCATACGCTGTCCAGGTGAGAAGGGACTGGAGGAGAGGCAGCGAGAGGTCACACCAGCAGATCCACTCCTCTGTCTTCTGTCCACCATCACAGTTAATTGGGTCCTGCGTCCACCCACCTCTCCCTCACCCCCCCTTCCTCATCTCCCTCCTTCTCCTTCCTCTCTTTTACCCTTTTCCGTTCTCTCACTTTTCTTTTTCTTTCCACGAGTCTGACCATTCTTCTCTCTGCTGCGCTGTCACCATGGCAACCCTTCACTCTGCTGCAGGACCCCACCCTCTCCCTCTCTCCTCGTCTTTCTCCTGCCTCCCTCCCTCTCTCCCTTTCTCCCATCATCTGCAGCGACTCTACGGTATTAAATATTGATGGTGGTGTTTTGCACCCAGACCCTGCTCTCCTCTCCTCTTCTTCTCCCTTCTTTTTGTGTCTCCCCCTGGTTCATTTCCTCCTCTGTTTCACTTGTGTCCTCTCTTGACTCTCCACTTTTTGCTTTTTGCCTCTCCTTTCCTCTATCCTCCCAGCCTCTTTCATTCCCATCGTTCCCATTCTCAACTCCCTTCTTAAACTGTTTTGCAAATGTAGGCGAGGAGACACAACATGGCTGCAGCTAACACCACACAGGGCTGGAGGCTTCCCATTCGCCCACTCTCAGCAAGCAGCCTTCGCTCTGGTGGAATCCATATCCACTATGTTGCTCCTCTCTCGCCCCCTCCCTCGCAGTGTATCTGTTTTTTTTGCAATGCACCTCTCTTTCTTTCTCCCACTTTCACTCTCTCTCTTTCTCTCTCACCCCTTTTCTCTCTGCCTCTCTCTCCCCATGTCTCTGTGGGCCTCCCCTGGGCTGGTTGCTGTTGGCAGCACCCGTGCCTCCCACACTGTCACTTGACATGCTATTTATAGGCCTTCAGAGGGGGTGGCTCTCAGTGCAAGGAGGATGCTGTCTTAAACAATGTAGCTTAAATAAAAGAGGCAGGAGCTCCCGAAGAGCCCTGTGGTTAATGTGCTGCCTTCTCTGCTCCTGTGTACCGACACCAAATGCACCATGCACCCCCGTTATCAACCTTTATCCCCTGTGCTTTCTCCTATCCAGGTCACTGGGAATAATTACCCATAATCCCAAAAGTGATGTAGTGAAAGATACTCATGCGTCTGTATTTCCCTTCTCTTTCATTCTCTCAGTTCTTTGGAGCTTTTCTTTGCCAGCAGCCAGAGCAACAAACTCCTGTACGGCGAGCCACCCACGTCGCCGCGTGCCAGCCGCAAGTTCTCCTCCCCTCCCCCCCTCGCCATCACCAAGACGTCCTCGCCAAACCGCCGACGCAAGCTTTCGCTCAACATCCCCATCATCACGGGGGGCAAAGCCCTGGACCTGGCTGCTCTCAACTGTTCTCCCAATGGCTATGCAAGCATGCACTCCACCATGTCACCTTTCAGCAAGACCACCCTTGACATCAACAAGCTTTACGTGTCCAGCACCAAGGCCAGCAAAATCCCCGATGAGGGAGAGACCAAAGCTGAAGGCAAGGCTGAGGAGACCGTCCTCAACAAGCAAGGTCAGAATTACAGTCCATGTGTGTATTGTGGTAGCATTTCTACAAACTAATTTTCATGATAATATCTTGTAAGTCTCTTCCAGTCATACAAGAGCAACTTTACCAACTCTCCCTTTAAGGTTAACGTTAATAATATATATTCCGAATATAAAAGTGGTCTTAAGTCAAAAGTAATCACCTTTTTTAAGCAGTATCTTTGAGATTGAAAAGGCAAAAGGCAGCAGTACATATAAGTGGGCATATATTGAAATGTAATAATGCCAATGATATTAAAACTGCCATAATCATTGACTGTAAAGATATTGAAAATGCGCTCTACTTTCAGACTTCATGAGCCTGGAAGCTTTCATTTCTGTCTAATCTCCCAGAAAGCCCAACTTTTCTTCTTCTCTGCTGCCTTTTTTAAATTCTTGATTGTCAAACTACTTGTCTTTGTGCAGATCTGTCTGAGAGAGAGGAATGTAATGAGGACCCAAGTCAGAGTGAGGAAACAGAGGCGGAGATGTCTCCTCCCAAATCACCATCGACACCCAAGAATGTCAAGTCAAAAAACTCTGGTGCAGTAAGACTTTAATTTCCCACCGTTGTGTTGTGACCGTTGTTTTCTGTTTAGGGAGCTCTAAACCCAAGACTCTTTACGGACGTCTTGTGATACACTTTTGAATCCCAACCCAACAGTTAAAAAACAAATGTGTTGGCAAGAATCATAAGTAACTTGGCAAGAATAAAAGAGCTGGCAAACGACAAGCGCTTAGTGCTGTTGACAAAGAGTACTTGCCAGTGGAGTGTCTTGGCGGATGATAATATGACAAAATAAAATGAATAATAATAGATCATGTCAATAACAAGAACCATTAGTAACATGAAGCACATTTAACAGGCAGGCTTTTATTATGTTACATTCTCTACGGGCACTTGAATGAAGAATTTCAACTGCAAGATTACTTGATTTAACCAGATAATGGGCAGCAGTAAAATGAGCAGTTAAACCGAAAATCATTTAATAAAGCGCTATTTGAAATACACCAACAAGAGCTGTGGCAGAAGACACACCAATTGGCATTTATTTGCAAGTTAGGCAGGGTTTTTCCTCACTGTTTACAAAATGGCAGTGTCTTTGCCACAACACAATAAAGCAATAGTTTGACTTGTGCCAACTTTTGGTTAGCTTAGCTTAGCATAAAAGCTGGAAACGGGGTGAAACAGCTTGCATGACACTGTAAAAAGTTAATAAAATCCACCTACCGGTATATCTAAAGCTTACAGATCTACCGTTACCAATAAAACCAAAACCTTTAGTTAATAAATGAATACATTTTGCCACAGTTGGACATTGGCAAGCTAGCTGATGTCCCATGTTGCTTGTCTTTGTGCTAAGATAAGCTTACCGGCTCCTGGGGCATTTACTGTAGACATAATAAAAAATTAAACTTTAGCATTTCTTTGGGTCACAAACCTTACTATCGGCCAATGTTGACAAGGTACATTTAATATTTTGAATTTATCTCAAAGATGTCAACAAAGCAGAGGAAACTGGCAGCTGTCTCAGAATAGTAAATTCTAGGTCACGTTTTCAGTCGGTGTCATAACATACAGTAAGGGGATTTCTACCATACATTTTTAGCATCCAGCATATTCAGTGTGTGCATGTGAGAAGTGTAAAGAGCTTGAGATAAGGAGAGTAAATCATAGAGTTAAATAAAGCCTGCTGCAGTTGACTGTATAGCAAACTTTTTTTTCAGAAATGACAAGCGTAACTACAGCCAAATAAGGTCTTCTTGATAAAAACCACCCACAGCTTCGTGGCCCTCCCCGTACCGCACAGAGAGGGAGCATCCACCCCGTAGGTAGTCAGGCACAATTCATCCCCAGTGTGTTCTCTTCCCACGGTTCTCGATACAAGGGAAGCCAGTGCCTTGTGTGAGTAGGTGGAAGGAAACCTTGTACCTTAGCAACGATGTGCATGTTCTTCTATACCGCCCCCGGCTTAACGGAGGAAGGCAGGGAGGAAGGGAGGGAGTGAAGGAGGGAGGCAGACACGGTGTACACAGCACCACTGCCACGAGCTGCAGGACACTCTGTCTGTTTTAGCTCTCTGTTGCCCTCCGCTGGGCAACAACTGAGTTTGATTATACACAAATAGTATATCCAGTGCAAGGAATTGTACCACCTTTAATCACTTAACCTTTTATCCACCCTTCATTTCCATTTCAGCCTAATCCTGTCAGAGGCTTAGTAATGTAACTGAAAGGGTTTTAATATTGGTATTTTTGCAGAAAAAATTAATTGTTCCTGCAAGTATCCTTTTTACCTTTTGATGATAACACTCAAGAGTAATAATAATAATAATAATAATACATGACACTTATATAGCGCTTTTCTAAAAACTCAAAGACGCTTTGACAGAGAATAAAACACAAAACGAAGAAAAAATACATAGAGACAAACAAAAACAGAAAAGAGGGGGCGGGATGGTTAGTGGTTGAATGCAGTGTTGAACAGATGGGTAGCAAGGTCTCTTATTTTATATTCTAAAGTATCTCTGTTTTGTTTCCCTTTTTGTAGAGTTTTCCCTGTTTTCCTTCAACAATGGCATGGTGGTGTCATCTTGCCGGGAGCTGGACAATAACCGCAGTGCCCTTTCTGCCGCCTCGGCCTTCGCTATCGCCACCGCTGGTGCCAACGAGGGCACGCCAACCAAGGAGAAGTACCGTCGGATGTCGCTCGCCAGCACAGGTCAGTCATATGAGAGGATGCTACTTCTGTTGACCAATAAAAACGGTTGTTGAGGACTAATTTGATGCAGAAATAGTCCCTCGAGTCCATTATACCACCACAAAAAACGACTTGGTTATATAACAGATGAATTTAAAAACAGTTCATTTCTGAGTGGATTATTTAGCCATTACAGAAACAATTTAGCTGTGTTATAATGAATGATGACCACTAGGGGGCGTCCAAACAAATACAAAATCAAAAGTTTCCTGTTCATTTTATGCCACCATTTAAACAGGATATACATTTTCAATTGAACGGTCTTTAAATTTGGTCTTGTATTAAAAAAAAACGTTTTTTTGTAAGTCAATGTGTGTCCTCTCTTTCTGTGAATTAGCTGTAGGTGATTGTTTTACCATTAGGAAAACACAGCCTAGTTTAAAGGTGGGGTAGGTAATTTTGGAGAAACCAGCTCGAGTGCGCTAGATTTTGAAAGTACACAGCCGGAACAAATCTGCCACTTCCTTACAGAGCCCCTCCTCCAACACACACGAACGCGCACATGACCAATGAGGGCACGAGATAAGTTTGTGCACAGATGGAAGGCTGACAGGCAGGTAGGCCATCCAGTTACTTTAGCCGGCTCAGATGATTGGTCGTGCTTTTTACAGCGCTGTAAAAAGCACGACCAATCATCTGAGCCGGCTAAAGTAACTGGATGGCCTACCTGCCTGTCAGCCTTCCATCTGTGCACAAACTTATCTCGTGCCCTNTTGGGCTCATTACTACTGTCAATTTACCTTTTATATACTTTTATTTAGTTTATTCATGTTGAATTGTGTTGTATTGTAACTACAATCCCATTATTCTAAAATTCTCATTGCGAATGTAGAGTTATAATATGTTCTTTGCCAATGTCTTTGTAATTGTTGTGCATATAACTTAAATGTGATCCATAGGAGGGGTGGGGGTGTGCGATCCTCTTCATGCTGAAGTTTTGTGTGGTCGATTCTGAGAGATGCGTCATGGCTCTCCTCTGTCAAACTAAAGTAATAATAATTACAGCAAAAACTTAAATTAGAGTCCAAAGATGTCAAACATATCGGGGAATCAACAGAGATGCAAGCTGAACACTCTTAAAATGCATTCTAACTCAAATATTATAAATGTGATCAATATAACTTAGCAGACATTATTATTCTTCCTCAAAGACAATCACTAGTATTCAAAGATATACATGAAACCACTTTACTAGCATTACATTGACAAAGTTTTAATACATTTGCTGATTTTAGAAATCGATTAAACTCGAGCTGGCCACAATATGGAGTTCTGAAAGGTACTAACTAAAATAGACTATTAGCCAAATAAAAATATATTGAAATTGACATCAAATAATGTCTCCGAACACACAATCAAAACCTGAAAAAGAATAAAATACACAATGAAAAGATACAGACAAAATGAACCTCACCTTTGGTTGATAATCAATCTTGTAAGCCGTTTGCTGAAATTGCCGTATTTCTCTGATAATGTGAGATATCTGGAGACAATGAAATAAAACAATATGAGACAGATCAAATATAAAGTGCGTGTCATTGTGTGTCCTTCAGCACATTGGTGTTCCTTACCATTCTCATCTTGGAGAAGTTAACCAGGCTGTCCTCGGTGTAGTTGGGGGTTCCCTCCTCGATAAAGGCCAGGTCGGTCAGGTACATTCCCAGGTAGGGAACACAGGGAGGGTCGCAGCTGAGGACAAGGACAGGGCAGATAAAGCGATAAAGTACACAAAGGCTAAGAGGAATAAAACTGTGAGCAATTAAAAGCTTTACTTCTTCAGAGCTTCTCTCAGGTTTTTGAATCGTCCCTCTGATGACACCAACTTCTGTAACTTGTCGATCACGGTCTTCGTCTAGAAAATGAAAGAAAAACTCTTGTAACCAGGAGTCAAAAAGTATTTGAAATCTTCCTAAACGTGTATTCATGTTTTAAGAACTAAGGACAATGCTATTCGCCTCTCTGTGAGTGTAGAGGCTAAGCCAACGCTTTAAGCCTCTGAGGATCCGCTTGGTGGGTGTAATTGAATAAAGGTCAGAAACAAAGTTTCCAGTTTGAAACAGTCCATTTATTTCCATTTTACTGGTTTCCATTTGACTTGCTTCTTTCCATATTCACCACACGATATTACCGTTTACACAATACCTTTGCTTTGCTTGTAATCCCGTGTTTGTGTGCGTGTATTCTCCGTGTGTGTTCTCAGTGTGTGTGCGTTCTCCGTGTGTGTGTGTGTGTTTGTATGTGTTCTAAAACTGTATGGCCTTCCGGCAGAACCTCTCACCACCAAACATAGGTTCCTACCTTTATACCCACAGATGTTAATTGGCTCCTACAATGAGCATGTTGTCTTCAATTCATTTAGTTTCACCTGCAATATGCCCTGCTTTATTTTTGCAATTACACTAATTCAAATTATTTTCGAGACTTGGATAATTCGGTGGATACAATTCAAAGTGTGCATACTAAATATTAAACCAAAGCAGGGGTATTTTAGTGTAGTTTATCTTAGCTCAGCTATGCTCAGTTAAGCTAAGTTCACTGCCCCCTATTGATCCTCTAATTAAACACTAAGCAAAATAAGCAAAAATATATCCCGAATTGGCAAACTATTATTATTGTTTCATTTTTCAGGTTCAACATTTATGGTATTACACCATTCACATTATTTTCAAGAGTTGGATAATTGGATGGATACAAATGTAAGTGTGCATACTAAATAGGAAACCGAAGCCAGGGGTAGGTTAGCTTAGCTTATTTTAGCTGAGTTTAGCGGTATTGATCCTTTAATTTAACACTAGGCAAAATAGCAAATAGGCAAAAATGTTATGCCGAATTGACAAACTATTATTATAGGCCCAGCTGAACTTTAGTGATAAAACGAGCAAACCTGAAAATAGTTCACCCAGTTTAGCTCACTACAGGAAGTTATTTTAAGAAATGTTTTATACCTGCTTGGAGACTTTGAGCCAGGTCTTCTTGAGGCGGAAGACGGAGCTGCGGTTCAGGGAGGATGTGATCTCCAGCATGGCGTTGTAGTTGTGGAGGCAGCGACAGATGTCTGCCACTGCGACCCATTTCTCGATCACCGACACTCTCAGGTTGACATCGTCCCACTGCAGGATCTCTGTCGCGATCTTGTTGCTGATCTGACAAAATAAGAGAAGTACATAGTGATAAAAATGTCTCTCTGTCTGTCTAGAATACACATTATAGAAATGTTTAAAAACACATACATCATTGAAATGCTTGGTAGTTTTCATAATGTAGGGAGTTCTCTCGTTCTTGTCGTTCTTCATCCAGCCTTGACCAAAGAACTCCCTGAAGAAATAAAAATATTTTTAAATAATCAACAAATAAAAACATACCAACATTCACTGTGTGTGTTTCCCACCTCCCAATCAGCCTTTTTCCTTTTTAGCGTATAGTGCTTGTGTTCATGGCTTTGCATGCTTGCGTGTGTGTACTCACTCGTATGGGATGACCTTGAAGACCAGGTGGTCCAGCAGTGTGAGTTGCTCAGCTATCTCCAGGGCCGAGTGGCTCTCAAAAGGCTCAGTTTTACAGTCCTCCTGTGCCTGAGACACAGACACAAACACACAAAGGGAAGATGAGTGTCACAGCTAAAGCTCAAAGCATCTCTACAGGACGCTAGTAATTTAAAAAGTAAAAAGTTGTTTTTATACCAGAACATTTTTTTCTCTCTCTCACCATCTGTGTGATCTCTTCCAGTGTGACCAGGTTATCTCCTGGATCCTCCTGAGTGAGAGTCCTACATACAAAAAGAGAAACGGCCATTATTGATAGTTGCCATTGACTTCTTGTGTATGTCCCATCAGGACTCAGATAGGGCCTGACCTATAATCTACTGTCTTCATTTCATGGTATCAGAAATATGCAGAAAACCAAAATGTGTCATTTATAATTGGATGTGCGGTCACAGATAACACCAGAAAACTCACCTGATGATGTTGGCAGCTGCCTTTCTTTCCTGTGTGAGGAGCTCTGGGTCGTGGATCACCTCCTCCAGGAAGCTGATTACCCGCGTCTTCAGCTCCGTGTTCAGCTCAAAGTCCTGAGAACCACCAAAGACACAAAGATTATTAAAGAACAGTGTGAGAAGAAGTACTCATATCTTTAACTCAAGTAAAAATAGCAATAGAAATGCGTTGTTACAATTAAAAGTCCTGTTTAGAAGAGCTTAGTTGTGTAAAACAGATCAACATCACATACTTAACTTAACTGGTGATGCAATGATGTTAGCATTTCTAAATTTGCAGAAGGTAAAGGTAGGCCTAAACTTAGCCTTTGATTAACTGCTGGGTAGAATAATTAATAATATGTCGTAGTATTTCATAACTTATTTTGTATTGATAATATGAATCTGCAAAGTAACTATAGGATTAAATTGAAATATTGAAGTAAAGTTACCCAAAATAAAAAATAATTACAGTACCTAAATGTATTTAGTGTTACTAGTATTCAAGAGTAGTTTTTCCTTCTACAAAGTCCTATAGATGGCTACAAAGAAAAACTCAAATGAAAGATGGAAAGGTGAACTGCACCTGCGAGTGTTTTGAGACCCAGTGACGCAGAACGTTCAGCACTCTGTTAGTGGCCGCTCTCCTGATAACAAACTCTTTGTCTCCATTCCTCTGGTCTGTAGGAAAACCTGGAAGCAGAAAGTTAAATTGTTCATATACTAAATTCCCACTACACAGAATAATCAGCTGTGTGATATACTCCAATTAATTTTGCCTTTAAGGTTTTAAGGTTATTTTTCTTCCAGATACAGAAAATCCAGTTTATTTGAATATTGTAACTGGTCAAAGATTATTCGAACATAAAGGATGCATCTATATAAATGCAATAGACAGAGTCATACTTGTATTCCTTTCATTTCCCCAGACTTAATTCATGTAAAGCAGGGTTCTTCAATGGTACAGTACTATACTGTGATACTGGTCCATTATGAAAACTTGACATTAAACTGACATACAGGACTTTTAAACGTGGGGTAGGTAAGTTTGAGAAACCGGCTCGAGATACACTTTTTGCTATATTCCATGGAATGCTCTTAACATCCTGATAGCAATGAATATCTGAAGTGCTTTGACTGAAAACCATAAA